GCCACCACGCCCAGCTAATTTTTGTATTTTTAGTAGAGACGGGGTTTCACCATGTTGGCCAGGATGGTCTCGATCTCTTGACCTTGTGATCTGCCTGCCTCGGCCTCCCAACGTGCTGGGATTACAGGCGTGAGCCACAGTGCCCGGCCGACCCTCTCCATCCTTAATAAATTCCATTGTCACAATTTTATGCTGGATATTGAACTGATTCCATCCTTTCTACCTACTGGCCCTAATTTTGCTTCCTGGACTCATAACAAACAAGCTGATGTCCTTATCAGGACAGTCTTTCAGGTCCAAGGTGCTAACCATGACACAACCGAACCCCCTTTAGGACAGTCTTTCAAATACCTGAGGATAACGCAGTGGCACTGTCCCTAAATCCTTGCATAAGAGGCAGGGTTCAATCCATTCCCTTGGCTTGTGACCAAAGACTCATTGTTAAATTCATTTATTGCATCGTAGGATAAATATTTATTGAATACTCTTCCTAGGAGGCACTGCCTTAAGTGCTGGGTATACAGCAGGGAACAAGACAGACACAGTCCCTCCCCTCACAGAGCTCTCAGTTTAGTGGAGGAAGCAAACACTAAGCCAAGAAACAAATTAATAAAATTATTACAAACCGTGATGGGGCCATGAAGAAAATAACCAGGATAGAGAATAAAAGGGAATGGAATATGAACGGTAACTTTAGCTACGGTGTTCAGGGAAGGCCTCTCTGAGGAGGTGACATTTGAGCTAAGACCTGAAGGATGAGAAAGAGGCATCTAGGGAAGAGCTAGAAAAAAAGCACCCCACGCAGACGGAACAAGTTAAGCGCTTGAGAGAGCAATGAGCGTGGGGTTTTCGAGAAACTGTCAGCAAGCCAGTCAGGCTGGAGCAGGGCGAGGGAGAGGGGTGGGAAATGAGGCTGGAGAAGCGGACGGCAGCCAGGATCATGCGGGGCCTTGCAGGCTCTGGGAAGGAGTCTGGATTACATCCGAGGTGCTGCGGCCAGCCGCGGTGCGTTGTATAGAGGGGAGTGAGCCTGCAGCCGCAGAGCTGTCCGGAAGGCCGAGCGGGATGAATGGTGTTTGCCAGAGGTTCATCCCCAGGGCGGGATGCACGGCGGCGGGCTCCCTCGGCCGGCCCGCCGCACCCCCGCCCCGCCCCGCTCACCGAGCTGTACCAGCGCGTAGAGGAGGCCGGCGATCGACACCAGGAAGTAGGCGAGAAACACGTTCTTCAGCTTCAGCTTCATTGCCGCGCCGCGGCCGGCGCCCGAGCAGGCGGGGTCTGGAGGGGACTAGGGGTTCCCGCCCCAACCCCCGGCGCCTGCCCGCAGACCCCGCCCCTGCAGCAGCTCCGCCCTGCGTCCCGCCTTCCTCACGCTATCCTACCAGCTCTAGGCTAGGACTAGCAGCTCCTCCCGGGCCCGCTTCCGGTCATCTGTGCCCCCTGGTAGACCTGATTTCCGGTCTCACCGCCAGGTTCCTGGAACCACGGGGCGGTGACGCCATATCCGGCGTGCCAAACGTGCGTGGCCGGCAGTCAGAATCTCGGGTAGGTGCACGTGGCATGTACCTCGAGGCCTGCCCCCTGATCACGGAATTGCACGAGAAAGCCAGTCCTAGCGCCCGGATCTTCACCTTATTCATCCATCCAGTCACACCACCCAATAGCAGTTGCTCAATACTCATTACACAAATGAATGAAATTTAACGCCCACCCCATGATCCTCAGGGTGTCTCTCCTGGAATCCTCACTATAATCCTTTGAGATAGGTAAGAAACTAAAGTTGACCAAAATTGTATCATTGCCATAGGGCAGTTTTGCGTCCTTTCTAGACACCTGAGTCCAGCATCTCTAGTGTTTCCTCTGGCCCACCTTTCAATAGATGACAACAGGGGTCCCAAGGAATTTTTTTTTTTTTTTTTTTT